AACGGCACGAGCACAAAATCTGAAACTTTATATTTTGACAGCACGAATTATAACGTTTCTATTGTGTAAGTAGCGATTGATTCTGCTCGTGGGGAAAAGTACTTTACTCTTGAGCCTGATAGGAGTCGGGGGTTGTTTTCGAAGGAACGGCACGAGCACAAAATCTGAAACTTTATATTTTGGCAGCACAAATTATAACGTTTCTATTGTGTAAGTAGCGATTGATTCTGCTCGTGGCGAAGGGTACTTTACTCTTGAGCCTGATAGGGGTTGGGGGTAGTTTTCGAAGGAACGGCACGAGCACAAAATCTGAAACTTTATATTTTGGCAGCACGAATTATAACGTTTCTATTGTGTAAGTAGCGATTGATTCTGCTCGTGGCGAAGGGTACTTCACTCTTGAACCTAATAGGGTATAATTCAGTTAGGGGTTGGTTCTTGAGAAATGGATCAATATATTAACTTTTTTTTGATAGCACAAATTAGCACAAAATCAGTACTATTCAAATCTATTTTCATTTTCCTTTTTTTCTTTTTTTTTCTTGTGGTCCTGCTAGCTTGATATTAAGCTGGCAGCGCCACACGTTTCTTCTAAACGGCACGTGGTACAAAATTGTCTTTTGTAGCACAAATTAGCACAAAATGAGCACTAAATAGTTCGAAAGGTCTTTTTCGATTCTGCTCATTTGGTCCTGCTAGCTTGACAGAGGTACAAAGCCTTGGTTCTGTGAGATGAATGAAGAGCCTTATTTTATTACTTTTGTAAATAGAATTAGATCTAATCATTATAATTTAGGGGTCTCTTTGTATAGGAAAAATTATGTTGATAGTGAACGATGTGAGTGTGGTTACGAATTAGAGAGAGTTTGGATCATTTTATTTGGCAATGCAGTAGATACGACGAATTGAGATTTAGGTTAGATCAAGAATTGAGGTTAAGAAAAGTTTTCCACCACGTCGACGTGTGTGAGCTCATTAAATCGGAGAATTGGTCAACGTTAAGTGTTATTTTTAATTATATCAAGAAAACAAATAGAATTATTTAAGAGTTATAGTTTTTCGTTGAAGTTAGTATTATGTCTTTTTATCTTATAGTATTGTTGTTTAGTGATTTGTTATAAATTGGATTTTCTTTGCGTCATATTGT